CGACCATCTTATTTGCACCTAAGCCTGGAATTCTGGCAGAGCAAAAAATTTGAGTAAGATCGCGCTAAATGATAGGCGGGACGCCTTCACTTAGCGAACTTCATGGGCTGGCCAAACTTGAGTCACTCTCGGTTTCCAGTAAACAATTCAAAATTGGCACATCTGCAGGGTTCGAAAAATTTAGAAGAAATAAGGTGTTTGCTAGCGGAGCTACTATGCAAAAGCTATTAAAGGGTTCCGAAATTTTGCATTACTTACGTAAGCAGAATATTCGAAAATCGAAATGTTCAAAATGTACTGTAAACAACGAAGAAAATAGATGCTGGATGCAATGTCAAATATGTTTATAGATGTATTAGCTTTTTCCAAACCCTTTATTGCGTAAAGCATCAATATATACAAATACGAGTGACCTATGAACACATATCACTTTGTGCCACTTTTAAATTCAGAGGCTGTTGATTCTTTTAGTAGCAATATCCACAGGATTTTCGACATTGCTGTTTCATAAGATCTTTGTAGATGGGATGGTGACAGTATATTGCCAGACGAAGGCATTCTTTTGTCGAGAAATCGACACACCCTGTAAAAAGTTTTGTAATTCACCGTTTGATCAAAGGGCTGTTCGCAAACAGTGCATTCTCTAAGCACTTCTTTTCGACGTCTCTTTCTCTCCATCTTCTTCTCTCATGCTTACCTCCTGGTATTACTGGTGGAGGTGGGATGACTCTTCCATTAGAATCGCAGCGTCCACATGTTTGTGGACATTGCTCATGCATGACTAAGTAGTATTTTCCGTTGCCACAAAGATGCGCCATGCTCGAACAATCAGATTTTCCTGTTTTAGGATTGACGCGGTCAATGCATGGCACTGAAAAGATTTTTGTTTAAGCAGAGAAAAGAGAAGTTCTCACGAGGCAAGGGAATGGTAGAGCACATTGTCCTAAACAGTTATTGCTTATAAGAGTCTAGCTTATGAATAAAAGTTCAGCTTTATCAAACTTCATCCAACTGAATGAATAAAAGAGTTTTTTTTTCAATAATAACCGTTTTTATTCAAAAATTAAACATTGCTTTAATGGAGGCATTGGCTAGCCTTCGCCCGTAGGCTCGCTGGTAATCTTAAATCAGTCATTGGGCGGCTTTCAATTTTTAAGGCAGCAAGGTTTGCATTGTGGACGAGCTTGTTTATACCCCTTCAACAGAATTATGCCTTTTGCCTGATGTTATTCAAAATAAACAAATAAATAAATAAATAATGCCGAGTAATGAACTGCCCTTACCTCCTCCGATAGTAGTTGAAGTAATGGCGGTATTCGTACTACTCATGGGTGCAGCAGTAGTGGCAG